CAGGTGTACGAGGAAGCGTTCCGCAACGTGGCGTCCCCCTTCTTCAACACAACCGTGATCTCAAATTGATCACATTGCAATTAGCTTCAGATGGCGCGGCAGCGTACTGGACTGCAGGTCTTTTTGGTCCACCTTCGTTGACTCAGATCATGCTCTGGTCTGCGCGAAAATCTGTATGTGTTTTGGAGGATCCCGAAACACGAAGCACCGCAAGATTGATGTAAACAGATTAACTGATCCCTCTGTCCAGGCGAGCTATCAGTTTTCACTGGCATATGCACTCAGTTGCAATCCACCGCAAGAAGTGGAACAACACTGGACTTGTATACGGAAGGCAATGACAATTTCCGGACAGTCATGCTGCGGCCTAACGCGACGCCCCTTGAAGGCTTGGATCTCTGCTCGTTCTCTGGAGCTGCTCGAACGCCGCAAAGATATCCCGGCGGAATCAGATTGCAACAAGCGGCGCCGTTCTGCCAACTGGCTGCTCAAGCAAAGCCTACGCAATGATCGCGAGACATGGTGGTCTGAGCGTGCTTTAGAGTTGGAGACCGCTGCCCTCTCTGGCAACACTCGCAGGCTTTTCCAACTCATTCAGTCCACTGGCCTCAGGAAGCCTGGTGTCAGTGAGGTCATTTGTGAGGCGGATGAGTCTCCGATCACCAACCAACAGAGGCGTATGGACCGCTGAGTCGATCACTTTCACTTGCAGTTCAACTGGCCTCCACCATCCATCAGTACATGCAGTACACGTTGTTGTCCACCCTGACTCGTCCCTCTGAATCCACCCAGCGAAGCAGAAGTCTGCCTAGAGATTCAACGCCTGAAGCCCTTCAAGGCTGCCGGCTTAGACGGACTTCCTCCGGAACTATTCAAGTACGGCGGTGTGGCGATCATTAACCAACTGACCGCGCTGTTCGCAAAAATTTGGCATGAAGAGAAAGTGCCTTCCACTTGGGGAGAATCAGTTATTGTCCCGATTGTCAAGAAAGGCGCTCGCACTTCATGTGCAAATCATCGCGGATTAGTCTTATTTCGGTTGCCTCTAAGCTATTGGCATCCATTCTGCTTCGCAGGCTATCCCCAGTACGTGAATCATACTACCGTGAAGAACAAGCTGGTTTCCGTCCTGGCCGCGGATGCGTGGATCAAATATTCACGCTCCGCCAGCTCCTCGAACATCGTCACATTGATCACAGGCCCACTATCGTTGCATTCCTAAACATACGTGCCGCTTTTGACTCCGTTGATCGACCTGCTTTATGGCGTTGCTTACTAAAGAACGGGGTGCCAGAGAAATATACCGCCATCTTACGAGCACTTTACCTTCATACCTGCGGCAGAGTGAGGGTCTAAGGCAAGGTTTATTCGCAACCCGCTGTCAATAGCGGTGGGTGATAGGGCTGCCCTATGTCCCCATTCCTCCTCAACTTCGCAATCGAAGACGTTCTATCGAATGTTCTAGAAGGTTTCCAACATTTTAGCTTAGAGCTTCTAGCGGGTGAGCGCGCGACCGACTTAGATTATCCTGATGATATCGCCTTACTTGGTGACGATCCTCAGAGTATGCAACTCATTCTGGATCGTTTGGCGGTTGAAGCATCTAAGTATGGCATGAGCTTCGCCCCATCGAAGTGTAAAGTACTGCTCAAGGATTGGCTTTCACCTGCTCCCGTGCTCACTCTCGAAGGTGCACAACTTGAACAAATAGATAGTTTCGTCTACCTTGGGAGCTGTGTTTCTGCTGATGGCACTATCAACAAAGAAGTTTCTCTTCATATCGCTAAAGCTCGATCAGCATTTGTCAATCTGAGGCACTTGTGGCGTCGTCGCGACGTCTCATTCTCACTAAAGGGCCGTGTTTACAGTGCATCAGTTCGCTAAGTATTGTTGTATGGGTGCGAGTCCTTGCCGATTCGCGGGGAAGACATGCGTCGTCTTTCTGTCTTCGAAAACGGTTGCTTAAGGAGGATCGCTCGTGTTTGGTGACAACATCGAGTTAATGGTAATGACGTTTGACATCGCATCTTGGGGAATGCGAGTATTCCCTTCAACAAACTGGTTTTGTTGCACCAGTTAAGATGGCTTGGTCACGTCCTACGCATGATACCTGAGCGTCTGCCGCGTCGCGCTCTATTCGCTCTTCAAGGACCTGGTTGGAGGCGACCGCGTGGTGGTCAGCCTTCCACATGGCGGCAGCGCATGAAGTCGCTGACGTCGTGTCTAGCCGCTGTTGGATCCGTACGTCTTTCAGGATGGGGATCCAAAGATGAGGAGTGCCAATGGATCAGCACTCTTGAGGACATGGCCGGCAACCGGAATCAGTGGAAGAATTGTATACAGTATTGTATTGATTCACATGTTTAATACTACAAACATGAAAAATGACAAAAAAGAGCAAAATCGGTGTGTGAAAAACGAACTAGAAATGTTTTGTTCTATTTTTTGTCAAAATGTTCCATTCTTCATGCGGCATATTAGCTGAAGTGTGTTGCTCATCTTCAACTAGCATGCCACGATGATTATGACGCGATGACTGTCTCTTATCCGCTGATTTCCATGGTTTTATGTTGGCTCTGTGTCTAGTTGATAGACCGTTGAAATTACATACATACATTTGAGTTGGCGACATATGTCACTACGTGTGAATTCAACAGTTTGGAGTGTATCACTGCCTTTGTGTATCAGCTTGAGTTGAGGATCCTCACTTGCATTAGTGCTATAAGTAAACATGAAGTAGTGATTGGAGATGGTACATATGATTGCACTATCGGTTATGGCAGCTACATCAGTTTCCAATCGAGTTAATACAACTTGATTTTCCATTCTGCCTACGGTACGAAAGTTTTGAGATGCAGTCTACCACGTTGGCGCTCTTTAGTACCATTACCTCCTTAGAGCATAGCATTTTGTGGTGATCCTGGTATAAGGCTGTTAGCGTTCTGGTGTGGAGCATCAGCAGAGTAAAATCGTTTCTTTTCCTTAACTTTTCATTTATTTTATGAAGTTTAGTGGCTACCGTTTTCGAGATGCCTGCAGGTGCAGCAGCCATATTCAGCTTCTTATTACGTTCTGGAGCCACAACTTCAACACAAAGCTGAACACGGTGGCAGAACTGATTACAAGCAATTGGTACATTCAGTGCTAAGAAAAATGGAGCCCAATTTGAAGACCTTATAAGATCCGAGAAAATTCACCAATTCACAAGAAAGAATGGAAGTATTTGATCACTACCCGGCAATTTGTCACTGATGTGTGTGGACACATGTAAACATCCCAGAGTAAATATCAGATCAAGTGTATTACCAAACCGAGTAGGCTCTTCGACGTGCTGTACCCATCCCGGTTGATCAAGAGTAGATATAAAAGAATTGTGCTTTTGTGGTCTATTGTTAAGTGACCATGGGATTTCAGGAATATTAAAATCCTCTGCGAGTATTTTTATTAGTGTATGAGAGGTCGGCAATAAGAGAAAAAGTGTCTATCCAGTCATCGGTTACGGTGAGTGCAGACGATGGGGGTCCGTAAATGCAACCTACTAAAATATTTGTTGGATAAATACAAATGGTAATTCACACCGAATCAGGAAGTTTCCGTAGGAGTGGTTCATCCAGAGGAAGAACCAAGTATAGGTCTTTGACGTAGATTATACAGCCACTACTAGCATAAAGGCGGTCATTACGGAAGATGTTATAACCCAGTATCCCGAACAATGTGTCTGGCATCTCCGCTGAACACCATGTTTCTGTTATTAGTACTATATCAGAAGAAAGGTGAAGAATATTACGCAGGAAGTGCATTTTATTTAACAATGAACGAGAATTAATTAACAGTAAGTGCGGTGTTTTGTTGTCCGTTGGGTTGTCTACAGGAATCCCGGTATAGGACCCTAACGAGGTGGTATTTGGAGATAGTGGGATGGGAGTGGTGGATACGAAGGATATTTAATTTGCGGAATTAGTGTCATTTGGGAGTATGGCGGGTAATACGCCACTGGACCCCACTCCAAAAAGGTAGGAAGGGCGAAATACCAAGAAAATTTCGACCCACTAGGAGATTACAGTTTGTTGGCTGTTGCATATAACCTACCTGCCTGTTAAGGTTATTTACATGTTGCGGAAGTTTGCGAGGATTTTGGTTGTGCCAATTTATCTCAGCTACGTGAATTTCACTAGCAAGTGGCTCACAGGTTATGGAGTACACTGGTTGCATACTCAAATGCAGCATGGTTGATGATATGCCGATAGTTTGCAGGTTTCCAGTGGTGACAGCGTTTGGTGAAACGTTTAAAATAGCAGCGTTTTTATTGTGCGTAAAAGCACCCGTATAGATGCCACGTGAGGTTTTGCTACCAGTGTTCTTTACAAGGCTGTTCCGCAGTGTTTTATCTATTAGAGGTGCATAGCTTTTGGGAGAGGTTTTCGGTTTCGTACCAGAGCGTCTATGCACCTGGTTGGTGGATGACAAAGAGTATAGAAATAGTCGCTGCACAATGGAACTTCCTTGTATGTTCGGGGACGAGTTGCGCAGTAATGGTGGGCTAACGTGACACTGAGTGGAGTAAGAAGCGATATTTTTTCGACAGTTGCTGGTTGATTTCAACATTAGAGTTAATTCATTTATGGTCAAAGTGTCAGCTAGGTCGACCAGGTGCGGAAATTCCCGAGTTTAATGAGGTAGCGGAACAAATTGGTCACAAACTGTTGCCAAACTATGATCGGTACCTAACCTGACGGTAAGTATCTATAACAGAATTTGTAACCAACTATAAGCCAAAAGAAATGGTACTTAAATTCGGTTCATAAGTAAACTGACTTTCCCTCAGGCAACTTATACGTTCTAATGTAATGAAGTTGCATTTGATACCAAACAATTGAGAACAAACTCACGCACCATCAAATAGGCGCATATCGTTTAATCAGTATATTTTTTTATATTTCAGATGAGGGCAATACACTAAAGAAGTCACAAACACACAGGGTGATAATTTTAAATACGCCATGGTTCAACTACACGAAGAGTCCTTACTTCGAAAGAAGGGTGCGGTGGGCGATGGGAGTGTATATGACATGAAACGGAAAGGTATCGATTCAAACGAAGACGACTTTTTCCTTATCGGACCTAGTAACGAAAGGTTCGCGCATTTGATAGCCTATCGCAATCGGTTGAAGCATCGCATGCATGGCCAGTATCCGTCATTGAATGATACATCCACACAGTTTGGACCGAGTGCTCAGCAAACAACATGCGTGAAGAAAACGCAGGTGCAAAACACGGCCGCTGGCCGACGCAACGAAGCCACGCAAACGGAGGGCCCACGTGCAGCGTTGGAAATGGAAATACATCGCATTCGCGAAGATTTAGAACGGAGAAAACGTGGATTAAGAAATGAGGCTAAGAACACGGATAAACGAGAAAAACATGAACGACGAGAGGACAGAACAAAAGCACATTCTTCAGCTATGGAGCAAACTCAAAATGAAAGACACATACAAAGACCAAAAACTTCTAAAATGACAACCGATGTGACAATGTATCAAAGTATGTCCCCACCAATGCGACGACAGCATTCGTTTAGTGCTCGTACACAACGCGGTCTATCGGAATATCAGTGGGCATACAGGACTCCGGAAAAGTCTTATTACATCAGGCCTAGTCGATCGGTTGAGAATATTGGGAATCAAAGCTCGACCCACTTCGAACCACGGATCGCAGTCATTGACTATGAAACTGAGTATCAACACGAGTACAAACCGTTCAAATACGTGACAGAGGAGAACCTTAAATCCACATGCGTAACGAACGAAGCAAAGATACACGTGGTGCCGTTGCCTAGATCAAGATCCGCCATTGCATTCAAACGATGGAGCCATCAGCCAGACACTCGACAAACAGGAAAAATTGCCCCTACACCGCATGAAGAAAAAAGAGAAAACCGAAAAACACCAAGACGGCGTCATTTGTCAGAAAGCAGTGCCAAATATCGCGACTATTCTGATCCGAAAAAGATAGGACAGTGGTTGCGCGAATTTGCGGAACTGCGACAGCAAGCAGAGTCGTACTGTAGCAGAGAACGCGGATCGCATTTTACCCGAGACCACTTGGCGCAACTGGACTCTACCTATGTGAAGTGTTGGGACGACGTGAATAGCGAACGATGTCCCGAAAATTGCATAATAAACCGAACAACATCCCCTAACTCGCAGACGGGTAAAATCGAAGGTAACTGCAATAAAAGTATGCCGTTAAATACATATCAGGAGCCGGCAATCTTCAATGCTAGGCGTAATATGTTTGATAGCCATAACATAGAGCAAGTGATGAAAGGGAATGAGCCGTGGTCCACGAGTTCAGATGTGACGGATGACTTGACAGAATATAGGTCCCAGTCTCAAAGAGATACGAAGGAATGGGTTAAAAGAGATCCCATTCCGCAAAGGAGAGATTGTGCACAGAATGTAGCCTTAGTATTAAGTGAGCGTCCGGCGACGTCGACAAAAGAACCAGTGGATGAAAATACAGAATGTATGCCAAGTGAGAGGATTAAGTTGGAAGAGAACACCAAATGTCACAGCAGAGCACACTGCGGCTCGATGGGTGTTCTTAGTCCAGATGTTGCAAGATCTATGAATTCCAGCGCCAATATCGCATCCGAAACATTACAGAAGGCTCGAAGACAGCACGAGCGTGTGTTTCGAGAGTACGCTGATGAACAGAAGCCTTGCTATTCGCCACTCAATTATGTCAACCACGTGTGCAGTATGAATCGACAGACAAGGCAGTAGCAAAAAACGAACGGTTAAGGAGCGAACGGTGGACACTTTGTATATTGTGGTCGCACTTTAAGTCAACTTTTGTTTTTCCATGCGACTTGGTAAAATGTATTTGTAAAGATGCAAATGCCATACAAAATCTTTATACTTTGCTATTGAAAACCCACAAATAAAAGCATAATGCGGTGTATACACAATGGCATGAGAATAAAGTGTGTGGATAGGAAGCGGCGAAGCTTATGGAGGGCACCAGTCGTGGTTGTAGCAGAAAGGATGCAAAACTCGCTGTACATGGATAAGAGTAAATATTAGACAGTGTCCACAAGGTGGCTGGACAAAATCAATAAAAGAAAAGCTAGTAAGAAAAAGGACAAGCAAGGGAATATTGAGTGACTAGAAAGCAGTAAAAGGTGCGCAATACGTGAAAACGGAAAGCCATGAATTATTGGGCAGCTCAAAGTAGTGCTATCGCAAACCGAAGGTCGCTTAAAGGAAAACTCTAGTCTATGCAAAACAATCTTCTCCAAAGACGTTTGTCCACCTTGTTACCGTCTGAGACGCTGGGAGTGCGTTTGAGACTGGTGTTTCGATGACGGATCAAGAGAGGACCAAGAGCACCGGAAGGGATCAACTTTCGGTTGCTGACAGGCGATACGGCAGATCCATTGGGTTTGTTTTCACAACCAAAAGGATAAGCAGGTCCCCCTAAATCGGCAATCTGGAGGCCACACCAAATAGCCAAATCAAAGACGGTTTTTAAATTTTTCTGCGTTAAGGCCGAGCATTCGATGTAGGCCTCCGCCCCTAACTCGGCAGCCAAACGTTCCGCTGTAACCTTGTCAACTGGAGCCTCTCCATTCTTAGATAGCTCCAGCAATTCACAAATATCGTTGCGCAAATCACAAGCACAGCCAACAAGCAAAAACGCGGGTCCAGGGCTTGTGGCCGTGCTATTTGAACGCTTCAGCCTCTGTGAAGACCCGCATGACCTAGCCCTGTTTGACGGAGGTTGTTTATTGCATTCCCTGGAGCGGGTTGTTTCGTCGCTTGATGGCGTCGATGATCTGGAACGAAGCAACCGTACAATCGATGGGTTTAGCACGACACGGGCATCCGATAATTCGGTGATCCATCGATCACGCAGTGAACGAAACGAACGGGGCTGGATGACCGAAAAGCACAGTAAGATGACATGAGCGCCGGGATAGGAGAAACGGCGCAGAGGAGATATTTCATCCTGTGGGAAAATGATGCAAAAATCCGAGGTCAGTGGCAATCAGTGAAGGAATATTTTCACAGCTTTAAGCGACAAATGTGCATTGGTGAATACTGTAAATAGAAAAGCAATTTGACATAGGATTAATGACACGGCTAGAACATACAGTAAGTAAGCGCAACCGTGGTAGCATAAGCAGCAAATCGGTGCTAGCGGAGTAGATCAGCCAATGAAAGAGCTTAATGCAGGGTTTGATTATTCCGCATTTGATGAGAAAGGACTAACTGAGTTAAAAGACGCAGTTTGCCGGGTTTATTTAAAAATCCCATTGTGGAAAGAGTACTGAGATAATAGTTGGACAATGATGGCTAGTCGCAGTGCGAACGCATAATTGCACTATAATAATAAATCGCCAGTTGTACGCCGTAACGGTGCTTCGCTACCACGCGACCACCACCAGTCGCGCGTGGGCTGAGTATATCGGGAGGACGCCCGCTCCTAAGCAAATTCGAAGCTGTGATCTTATGGTTGCAAACCAGACGCGCATACCACTCAACCACCGGCCGACAATTGCAGTAACGCGCAGCAAGACACTATTGTACGAGTAGACTTATGGAAAGGTTTTTACTGAAAAACAAATCCGGACACGTGTTCAAAACATATGAAGACGGGCAAGTAATCCGAAATTTTAAAGCACTTTCAGTTAAGCAATTGCGATTCAAGCCAAACAGCCACTATGGATCCAGTTGACATGACTTGCATACTTATGATGGTAATAAGAATTGACTAGATAAAATGTAGAGACCACAGGCACAAAGATTGAAGTAGAAGGAATAACAAAATATACAGATGAGGAATTGACGGCTAAATGAGAAATCGAAGTAAAAGTGTAAATGGGTTTCGGACTGCACCATGACAAAGAGTGCCTAGGCATTGCTGTGAATGAGCCCCGGGCACCTACACAAAATGATCGCATGCCCTAGCTTGACCAAGTCCTCCGGGAACATTACTTATGCCCCTTTCGCTGCTGGTGGAGACACGGAAATCGACATAGTGCCCAATGTGACCAGGCACACTGGACAGGTCATGTGTGTCTGCCGAGTACCTACATGAATGCTCGTTGTGTACAGACGATGTGCTCGATATCAAAGTATCTTAACGACAGAAAAGAAAAGAAGCATAAAGTAATTGACAATGAGAATGGAGTGAACCGATACACGCCCCTTTTCGGACGCATACCAGGAAATGGAAAATAGCAGCGATTAGAGGCTCCAGTCGACATGGCGATATCGCGAATCCAAAGTCGGTCTTTAGTTCTGTCTTCCGTTTCTAATCGGAAGTTCGGCAGCTAGCATTTATTGTATCCTTCTACTCTTTCCGGAGGAGTCTTAATTTGATTTTTTCGTCGCAGCTGCAGTTTCTCAAAACAGTAAGTCCTCGCTAAAAGCTACACCAAGGAGATAGTTTTCGGTTCGCTTAATCTATCTAGATTAAAGTACCGAAGCACGATGGATTAGGTTGACATGACTCGTGTAGCCATGATGATAATCATCACCTAGAGGAAAATGAGGGGAGCGAAGCAGGGAAACACACAACCAAGTTTGAATCGCAGTTGACAAACTAAAACTGTACTGTGGCTTGCGTTGGGTAACTGAGCAAAAACCTCAGGCAAAGCGTGAATGGGAACCTGACTGATAACTACAGTTACCAAATCCGCGAGTGGCACAATCCCTTCCATTATCCAGTGCAAAGGAAGCATGACAATCCACGGTACAATCGTTCATTAAACGCACTGAGATTCGGTGATTCAAAGTGAGCGACACTCATAACAGATCCACAAGAGTTACAAAGTACAGCAGCTTCAAATGCGTAAAATGGAGATCATAAAACGAGATATCCAGATCCAAGCACATCAAGAAGCAGGTATTCAAATATGATCAGCAAAAAGTGGGTACGTCAAAATCAAATAAAGAGAGTATGGAGCCATTGTACGGACTACGTGTTGATGGTTAAACGAACAAACAAATAAGTAGCATATTTCCCAGTAGTGAGAGCTACGGCCCAACAAAGTTGGTTGATAAATATCTAAAACGGAATCGCATAAGGTAGATGATAGTTGCTCAAGGTAATCCCTGAACGACATTCCAGTGTGGTCCATCATATAATGTGGTAGAAAGACGGAGAGGTTGGTAGTAACAATCAGTAATGTCATAGCCAAACGTTTAACGTGGAACCGTCTCACAGGGACCTGCTTCCATGCGGAGTAGTCCGTCGAAAGGATTCGTTAGCAATACCACCCTCCAGTCGGCTGCGTGCCCATATGGCTTCAAGCCAAGTGAGTCAACACCGCACTAACTTACCTTTAGAGTAGCTGTTACCTGCACATGAATGCTCAAACCACATAGTCCATTCTGTTAAGAGCAGTAATACTTAAGAAAAAATCGGGGGACCCCATATAGGGGTAAAATACAGCCGTCACTCTTAAAATTCTGCAGAATCATCCATTAAGTCTATCAGAAGAATATTTTCCAACATACTGAGACTATTACTGATAGGTAAAGAACGCCTTCGAATGGAAAATATTCAGGATAGTCACCAGGAGCACATAAATATCAGTTGTTATTGCTTTGTAATCTTCGGCGATTAAACTGGAAACGAAAGCCTCGCCTTTTTGGTCAGTCAATGTGAGTGACCTGGTTCAAAAGAACAGACCAAAAGGACATGGCGCGGCGTTGGGGACTATAACAGCTTGGCGATGGGGACTTTTGATTGGAGAACCCGAAATACTTCAACGGAAGCAGTTTGAAGAAAGTCAGACACAGTGGATTGAGAATAGCTTCCAAGAGTTTGCGATACAAGCAAGACCATGCAGTGAAAAGCAGCAGTCATCTGTTGGTGCAGTGGCTAACAGCATTCGTGGCTTCCAATAAGACCCGGACGCTGGCCTCGTCTTCGAATCTTGGTTCCGAAGATGCGAAAACGTTTTCCGGTCTGAGTTTGCCCATGTTGACGAGGCATGGGAGTTTAGACTGCTCCTGCTGAAACTGGGAATCAAGCAGTACAAGTTCTTCAATTTTAGTTTGCCCAAATGTTCCGAAGATTTCATTTTCTATCGACTTGTACCTTTCTTACATGACATTTTTGGTGAACAGTCTTCCTAATTCAACGTCCGATAGAGCTGCATGAAGCTAGTTAAGTGTGCATCAGATGATTCTGTAAACTAGGCGACTACTGCCAACCGTCATTGCGAGGGTTCCAAGCTGGAAGAAATGACGGACGATCAGTTTAAGGCCCTGGTTTTAGTTTGTGATCCCCAACTGTCCGAGGATTCCGAAATACGCATGAGGCTGCTTAGCAAGGACATGCCCATCAAGCTTACGTCAATCACCCTCGAATGCCAGAGGCTAAATTTGAAACACGATACGAACCTGATTGCCCAAGGCCGCAATTCATGTGCCGTAAATGTGCTGCCCGTGTCAAATCAATACGGAAGTCAAACGAAGATTCCGAACTCTTGGAAACCAAACACGCCGCCATCTGCATGCTGGAAATGTGGAGAAGGGTACGTCATCAAGTTCTGACCGTTCAAGAAGCATCGTTGTCAGAAATGCAACAAACGAGGCCACAAGGAAAAATCGATGACGTCCAGTTGTCCTCAACAAGTAACTATTCCAAAAATCATTTACCAACATCTCTAACAAAACAATGATCGCAGCTTTATCCTGATTTCGTTACCTTCAATTCTGGGGACGCAAAGCGCAGAAGGTTCGTTATGATGATGGTCGTTAGCGCTAAAATAACCATGCAATCGGAAAGTTGGATATCAGGATCATACGCCAGGTAACCACATCACATGTGTCATTTGCTGAGACTCCGGGTACCGACTATTTGTTTACCCCAGGTGGTTACCTATACGACGCTCCATGGCTTCATTGCAATTGGTAATATGTGTATCGAGATTTTCCTCTGGATAACCTTATCTAGCACTAGCGTCTAGGGACTATTATGTCTTTCACTGTTTTCCTGGACACGCGTACATAATAATACGTATATTTCTCGGTTGCGTGAGAAGCTGTCCATGAACTGGAGACAGATCATGAGTACAGAATTCAAAATGCACATGCGTGGTTGAGACATGTATTTTGGGTCGTGTGATATCAAAACATCGTAAAATACATAAAAAATTTTGTTGCTGCTTTTGTGGAAAAAGAGTTCTAACCAGTTTTATAGTTCTTGGACAATTATGGAAGAACCCAGTTAGTGATTTACCCGATGGAAACGATCATAATCGATTTCTGGCCCAGAAAATTTCTAAGTTGAATGCGAACGCGGCAGTTACCCGGTGTCGGACACTAACGGTTTACTATCAGCTGCGAAACCTACCCTAGGCGGCTTACAATCGGCTGCAAGGCCCACGCTAAATGAATCGACTTAAGCATCGGTCCGACTTAATGACTCCGTTCAAACTCGGCTTAGCTGTCCTCAGCGTAAGAGACAGCAGCTTACTGCGTTGTATTTTTCATTTTTGCTGTAACCGCCTGGTGAGAATAATCGGAAAGAGTTCTGTTCGCTATTTGGAATTCTTATCTTAACATGGGCATTATTCATAAGTTGAAAATGAGCAATCAGCCCCCAGCGTTTTCTGATATCAACAAATATTTGAAGTTTAGCGCTAGGCTTGCGAATGCGAAGACTGAAATTAGGTTTATACGTGACTGCCTGGAGCGTAACCAGTTTCCGAAAACTTATTGGAAGTCACGTAGAAGGTCTCGGGTGCGGCCGCGACTAAAGCACTTAAACGCCACGCTTGCAATTTGATGAAATTTGTTCAATCGCGAATCTCAGAGCTAAAGCGGCTATGTTCCTGTTACCGCTCAGCTATCGAAGAGCATGATACTATAAAACGCGAATCATTCGCGCAATACGTGCAAGGAGTTCACGAGAAAGTGAAAGAGAAAAAGCACACTAAATTATTAAAGGATTTGCAACCGACGCAGTCAGAACAAAAATTTTCGCAGCACCCAGAAAGATATGTCCCCAACTTATCCAGCGTAAACATAATCAGCTACAATTAGGGGGGCATTGTCCCTTGGACCAAAATTTTGCTTTTCACAACTTGCTAATGAGCAAGTGCATATCGAAACCCAATTCGAGCACCTAATGCATCAACTAACTGAATGGACGCTCACGTCATGTCTTTGCATGCAAGTGATACCTTCAAAACCACACTGGTTCACCTCGCCCAACAATACTTAGGTTATGAAGCGAAAGTATCGAACATATAGTCTACGAAACACAGACACCGTCAAGGAATTGGGAGCAAATCCCGAAGTGATACGTTCCAAACCAGACAAAGGTTCAGGTAGGTACTAGTGAATAAGTCTGACTATTTTTCCAAGCTTCTAACTATTTTGCAAGATCAGAATAAATTTGCGCGCGGTGCTCAAAAGAAAAAAACCCGCGCAGGATGAGAGCAAAAGCACCAAACGGCTGAAAGAGTTAAGACAAGCGAATCTGATAACCGATTCGTTACTTAATCGGTTAGCTTTAGTAAGGTCGCATCATCTTATACGGAGTTCCGGAAGCGTATAAGCCAAACGTATCTCTATACCCGATCATCGGTATGTCCTCTTCCGCCTTCCACTCTGTCGCGAAGTGGCTATTGGAAGTGTTGGAACTTACTCATTACAAGACTCTTTTGAATTCGTGAAACAAGTAGAGAATCCGAACGTGCGTGGCAAACTCATGATTTCAATCGACGTCGATTCACTGTTCACCAACGTCCCGTTGCCAGAAACCGTCAATTACCTGTGTGATTACATTACCATCAAGAATATAGATCCTAGGACTCCGCCAAGCACAATAAAGAAACTTATTTTACGGTGCACCTTTAACAAGCAGTTCCTAGTTTATGGAATCTATTACAGACAAACTGACGGTGTGGTGATGGCGTCCCCCCTAGGACCGCTCCTTGCTGACGTTTTCCTGGCGAAGCTTGAACGCGGAGCTCTGCGGCTGGTTATCTCAACGTCTGATTCTTACTTGCGATATGTGGATGATACTTTCATTATTTGTGATACAAACAGAGAAGCTTCTCGTTTATTAACTCAATTCAACAGCGTACATCCGGCGTTGCAGTTCACCAGTGAGATAGAAAGTGAGGGACGACTGGCCATTTTAGACGTGTTGCTGAAACAACGGCTCTCTGAAGAGGAGCGTTTACCGGAAGCCGACTTGGGCTGGCCAGTACACACGCTTTACAAGCTTTGTATCTTTGCAACACAAGCGGAACTTAGTGCGTTGCTTACATTACCGTGCCGCCAGAATTTGTAACTCGGAAACGCTGGATGAGGAGAACTATCGTATCTTCAAGAGATTGTAAGATAACGGATATCCCACTCAGTTCATCAGAAAGCACGTCACGATTCGTCTGAGCTGCGAAAACATCTTGACCGTACCAAAAATGGGTATGTTATTATCGGTACCATTCAAAGGAGATGTTGAATTGGACTTACTGAAAAGAAGACTATCAGCTGAGTGTCCAAAACCTACCCAGCTGCCTACCTATATGCGCTTACTCAGACCGCACGCTTTGTTACTCCGCGTCTCAAAGACAGACTCCTGGTCTTGTCCAAATAATACGTCCTGTAGCAAGTTAATTGCACCTGTGATGCAAGATACCTTGGGCACACAAGCAGACGTCTGCCAAAACGGGTAGCAGAACAATGCCCAGGGTCGTTAAGAAGAGGCATGGGTAGAAACATAACCAGCGCTATCATGGAACAGACATAAATATCTGTATTTGTAAGCAGTAGGGGGATCTATTATGTTTTGTGTAGGTCCGTCGCAGTTAGACACAGGCAGACAGCCACCACACATCCAGGAAAGCGCTAGAAGGCTGTTTCGTCCTATTGGGACTCGTTAGTAGCGCGCACCCAGCCGAATCCTGCCGGATTCGGAAAAACGAGCTTACTCTTGCGAGTCAGCGATTTATGTCACTGAGCAATGGGGGACGGCTGTAGACCGCCATGAATGATATCTAACTGCGGTATAGCGCGGCTCATCCTCCACTGTCTTGCATGTTATGAATGTGCAGAGGACAGGGCTGGCCCCCAGAGCAACGAGTTCCTTTGCAAGCCGCCACCAATGGAGGTGGCACGTAAGCTGCTAAAGCGACTACTGATTATTTGTAAGCAGTAGGGGGTTTATTATGCTTTGCGTATTTTCGTCGTAATTACAATATAAGTGGTCTAATGCTACAACTCATAAGAGGAAAAAATAGCAGGAAAGGGAAAACAACTGTTAGGGTAGAAGAATCGCACAGCAAGCGCGCCATTGAGTACGGTCCTTGGCCATATCCTCCAGCGTTTGCAACCCGATGTGCTCGGGGTCCTTTGATCACCAACGAGGGAGTCGGGAACACCACACAATAGTCAGCTTCAACATTTGCGCCTTAACGCATTAGATGCAAGTTTTACATTGCCCACCTTTTCGTCGCTTCCAAGCCACGCCTGTGCTCGCAAATAGAGCTTGTCGTGGTAGGCGCTGGGTAGGCATGCGGAGCACATGTTCAAGTCAGTGAAGCCTCTGCAGTGTAATGATGCTATCAATCAGTCGGCGGAGTTCGTTAGATTTGAAGACTCGTCGACGGACTTTTCATTAATGATGTGATGTCGCCATCGAACATCAGCAATGCTTCGCAGGCAGAGGTGATCGAAGTCAGATAGCCACTGAACCTCGCTTTTGCTAAAGGGTCAAATCTTACAGCCGTACAGCAGAATCGCTCGTACCGTAGCATCATAGACTCGTCCCTTGAGAGCGAGGCTGAGGTCACGACGAAGCCACAGGTGACGAAGGTTAGTAAAAGCGACTCTAGCCTTAGAGACACGCGGGGAGATCTCATATGTCAAAGCGCCAATACCTTAGTAATGGCAGTTCCAAGATAAAGGAAAAGAAAGGTTCCAAGATAAAGGAATTTGTCGACCACTTCCAGCGGGTGCCCCGGAAGAGTGAGAGGACATGCACTTGGCCAGTCCTGTAATAAGACCTTACATTTGGAAGGGGCAAATGTCAACCCAAATTGGGAGGCGGATATCTCCAGTCTGAGCAGCACATGCTGGATGGTTTGGTAGGACTCGCAAATCACAGCGATGTCACCGGCGTACTCTAAGTCCCGAAGGCGGACACCAGGGAGTAGTATCCAGGATCTCGTACATGGAGAAGTTGAACAAGATTGGAGAGGCTGGGCAACCCAGTTTAACACTGCTAGTGACACTGAAAGGGAGCGAAATGCTTCCGTATGCCCGCACGCGGCCTGAAGTTTGGTGGTAAATGGCAAAGAGAATGCTGATGTACTTTTCAGGTAATCCCCAGTTCACTAAGAAATCCCAGAGCTACTCTGCCAACAGAGTTAAAAGCGGCTCGAATATGACTATATAGTTGAATTTGATGAATTTTTCTGCTGAACAATTTCAAAAGCTGCTTTTTCAACAGCAAGCTCAAATGGAGGCACAAATGAAAAGGATTGAAAATCTGACACAATGTTTGAGTTTGCAGACAACAGGAGCAGCGGCGCGGGACATGCAGGCGAGTTCTGTTGATCTTCTCACGAACGCGATCACTGAATTCAATTATGATGCGGATTCTGGATGCACCTTTGAAGCATGGTTCAAGCGCTGGGAAGACATGATCCAAACGGACTTCATTCGTCAAGAAGACTCCTGGAAGGTGCGACTGCTACTCCGCAAGCTCGGAATAAGTGAACATTCAAGGTTCATTGACCACATTTTGCCCAAACAGCCGAAAGATCTGACGTTTGATGAAGCAGTGTTGCAGCTGAAGGAAATTTTTGGTGAGTCAGTATCCTTGTTTAGTATTCGCTATCAATGCCTGAAAATTGTCCAACAGGAATCTGACGACTTTGGGGTCTTAGCAGACATGATTAACCGTGAGTGTGAACGTTTCAAACTACGCACTTTAACGGACGATCAGTTTAAGTGTCTCATTTTCGTCAGCGCTCTACAATCGCCCAGTGATGCTGAGATCCGCAAGCGGCTTTTAGCTAAGCTGGAGCAGGATCCTGATCTGACACTGAAGGCCCTCGTAAGCGAATGCAAACGGCTGCTGAGTCTAAAACACGACACTGCCATGGTCGAACGCAATGGTCTCGCACCACCAGATACCGTGCAACACGTGAAAAAGGCCGGGACCGCAAACGCAAGCAAACTCTTCAAGAAGCCGACGAACAAACCGCCCACAGCATGCTGGTCAAGCGGCATTTCGCCCACCTTTGTCCCTTCAAACATCATAATTGTCAAACGTGTCATAAGCGTGGGCATAAAGAAGAATGCTGCAGTCATGTCCGGTCGAAGAAAATGAAGTCTTATCGAAAGGGTAATTCTAGAAAAGACGGCGCTGAGTCTCTGTTTATAGTTGCCGCATTCCAAAGCGAATGTAAACCAAGACGACGATTCATCACTGTGTTGATCAATGGGATCCCAACGAAACTACAATTTGACACGGCCTCGGACATCACGATTATTTCCAGGAGCACATGGAATCACATAAAGAGGCCGAAGATAGTCGAGTCTCAGAAAGTTGCACATAATGCATCCGGCGGTGTGTTAAACTTAGTGGGCGAACTCAATTGCAAGATTGCTTTCCAAGGTGTGGAAAAGTCGGGAACATGCTACATCTCAGACCGGCCGAAGTTGAATCTTCTTGGCCTCGACTGGATTGAAAAGTTGTATCTCCTCGATGTTCCCTTGAATCAGATCTGCAACCGAGTTGGAGCAAGTCCAGATCCATCACCAAAGTCCGTCGAAGACATGACATGTATCCTGATGCGAAAATTTGCTTCTGTCTTTCAGGATGGCTTGGGCCATTGCACAAAATTCAAAGCGACACTGAACTTGCGACCAGGTGCTAAACCAGTGTTCAAGGCCAAAAGACCGGTACCATATGCAGTCATGTCAACCGTTGAGCAAGAGCTCGATCGACTGGAACGTGCCGGAGTCATCACAGCCGTCAACTACTCATCATGGGCCGCACTTATTGTCGCAGTGAAGAAAGCAAATGGGAAGGTACGCGTTTGCGCTGACTTTTCAATTGGCCTCAACACCGCGCTGGATGACCACCAGTACCCAATACCTGTACCGGAGGATATCTTTGCAAAGTTGAATGGTGGTAAGTACTTTGCTAAGCTTGATCTATCCGATGCGTATCTTCAAGTGGATGTTGACGAAACCTCGAGGGAGTTGTTGACGATCAACACTCATCGTGGGCTATTTCAATACAACCGCTTGCCATTTGGTGTGAAAACGGCGCCAGCCATCTTCCATCAGTTGATGGACACCATGCTAGCGGGCGTTTCTGGAACAGCTGCATATCTGGATGATATTACAGTGATGGGTCGAATACCAGAAGAACTATTCAACCGCTTGGATGAAGTGCTTGATTGTATAGTCCTACGGTTTCCGGATCCGTGAGGATAAATGCACATTTTTCACGCCGATCATCAAATACCTCGGTTTTATCCTAGAAAAGGATGGACGTCGACCAGACCCGGAAAACATAGATGCCATTAGAAACATGCCTCCACCAACAGATCTACAGTCCTTGCGTTCCTTTTGTGGGCTCATCAGTCACTACAGTGCATTCTTGCCTGAGATGCACCGCCTGCGTGCCCCGTTAAACAAGATATTAGCCAAGGGCCAGAATGCCTTCGAACGCGTCAAGTCACTGCTGTCCTCAAAATTGCTTCTGACTAATTTTGACCCCTCCAAAGAGATTGTCTTGGCCACAGATGCATCAAGCCATGGGATTGGCGCAGTAATATCACACACCTTCGCCGATGGATCTCAGAAGGCAATCGCCCATGCCGCCAGAACCCTTACGAAGACCGAGGAGAATTACAGCCAGATTGAGAAAGAAGCATTGGCCATAGTGTACGCAGTCAAGAAATTCCACAAAATGCTATACGGCCGCCGCTTCAAGCTCCTGACAGATCACAAGCCCTTGCTGGCTATCTTTGGTTCGAAAAAGGGCATTCCGGCCTACACAGCAAACCGGCTACAACGTTGGGCTCTTACTTTAATGGGGTATGATTTTGAGATCCAATACCAGTCGACAGTTTCCATTGGTCAAGCGGATGCACTGTCACGCCTATTTGATGCCCGCCAGCAAGAACATGAGGACACAATCATTGCCTCGGTCGAGATTGAACTTCACGTCAACTTCCTGGTAACTGATGTATTGCACGGTCTACCAGTTACCGCAGAAGCTGTACGAACCGAAACGCTTCGGGACCCAATACTCAAGAAGATAACACGATTTCACAAAACAAGTTGGCCACGTTCATGTGCCGAGTTGCAACAGTACTTCCAGAGGAGACATGCACTCTCTATTGTAAACGACTGCATACTATATTCGAAAAGAGTGGTCATCCCCAAGGCACTTCAAGAGCGTCTTATTCGGCAGTTCCACGCCGGGCATCCTGGAATCAACCGGATGAAGGCGCTTGCTCGCAGTTAAGTATACTGGCCGTTCATGGACAAACAGCTGGAAGAAATAGTCAAACGCTGCCAACAGTGTGCCAATGTCTTGAAAGCGCCACAAAAATCAGTACTCTATTCATGGCCAAAAGTTACTAAGCCATGGTGCCGCATCCATGTCGACTTTGCGGGACCGATCAACGGCCGAAGTTTCCTCATTATAGTCGACTCATACAGCAAGCGGCCTGAAGTATTTCTTATGGAGAACACAATCACCAATGCCACCATATCGAAACTGCGCCAAACCTTTAGCAGATTCTGCTGTCCTGAGACAATTGTCACTGACAATGGCTCACAATTTACTTCAGCAACTTTTACGGAGTTTTGCAAGCAATGCGCCGTACAGCACGTCCGCTCGCCGCCGTTTCACCCACAGTCGAATGGCCAGGCAGAAAGATTTGTCGATACATTCAAGCGAGCTCTCCACAAATCAAATGGGGAGGGACGTACAGAGGAGGTGGTTGACCGGTTCCTTTTTCTCTACCGATCAACACCGAATCCACAAGCGCCAGACGGAGTCTCTCCAGCACAGGCCATGATGAACCGGAAGCCCCGCATGCCATTCGAAGCCATCTGACCGGGCTCGGAGTCCTCTGTTGGTGAAAGGAACCGCAGAATGGAACAGGAGTTTAATCGGAGGCATGGAGCAAAGAAGCGATCTCCTAAGCTTGGACAGAAGGTGCTAGTACGTGACTACCGGGAAGGCCATGCGAAATGGACACCAGAGACGGTCAAAAGCAAGCGCGGAAACGTCATGTATGACGTGATGGTGGGCGCACAGGCCTGGCCACGGCATGCAAACCAGTTACGACCCGCATCATGCCAACCAGAACAAGCAAGGTCTACCGACCTGCCGTTCGATTTACTGGTGGAAAGCTTCAACCTGCCGAAGGTAACAGTGGACGACTGCACATAGTCGAGCAAAGAATCCAGAACAAGAACATCGGAACGAAGATTTTCGGGCGCTTCCGCCAAGGTGGACCAACAGGCAGAGAACACCGTCCCGAAGACTGCAAGTTAATCCTAGGCTTTCGTCTTATACCTCGGACGATATCTCAGGAGGGGAGGTGTCCGGGAGAAAGTAAGAATTGCCTTGGAAATTCCCTATTTTAGCGATTAATCGATTATAAACGATTATCGCATCGATTTCGAATGTTCCGGAATGTTCTTCTTCTGCACGTGATTAAAAGCCACCTGACACCTCGGCAAAAGCTATGGGGAATCACTAACCTTGGCAGCTGACCTTCCAATTCTAGAAGTCGAAGATCAGCAGAGACCTATAAATACAGCCAAGGTCCGCAGTAGTTGTACAGTGTTCGTTGACGGCGATTAATACGTTACTTTGGCAAGGTCATTGGCGTTTTGTTTTTTTCCTTCGGTTGGGCTAGAAGTTTTGTGGAGCAGTGAATTGTTATTTTTGGAGTTGCGTCTAGTGAGAAGATTATAACAATAGCTCAAGGTGGACTATTTACTGAACAATCGTCCGGTGAATGAAGTTTGCAGGTTTTCTAGAGCTTTCCTGTCACTCATACGCATGTTCGCATAAATGTTGCTGCAGTATTCAAGGACAGGAAGTGAGTAGTTTGGCAGGGATTGTATGGATATTATAGCATATGTTAGCCACAGATTGTTTAGCGCGAGTTATTTGATACTAATATTGATCTGAAAAATTGAAGCTTCATTACAACCCCGCTGTTAGAAATGATCGCTTCCACACTGTGCAACTTGTCCAGACGCCACACCATATGCCGACCTGATCCATTCCCGAGCCACAGGGGCACATTCCTGTTGTTATTTCTTCTATCCTACATTTGCGCTGCGACAAATTACATCTTCTACCCTCTATGTGCCGTACAGCGAATTTATCAGGTAGGGTTATAGGATCCATTAAAAGAGCCGTTAGCTCCCGCTCGCGGACTCTGTATTTGTGTGATCTTGTTTTACCCAGGCAATTACGGTGATTTGTATTGTTTCTGCACTATGTAAAGATACGGTTGTCTCAGAAATGAACGCATCCTGTTGTGGTATGTCCATATTTCACCTTAACTTCCATTTGAATAGTACCGTAGTTAACTTCTCGGCTTTGTTTCGTTTCGGACCTGGGAATTCTTACGCGTTACTCGAGAATCAAGCGTTCTTGTCGCTTACAGTGCCCGTACGCCTCCAAACGGACACTGCCTCAGATATTAT